TTTTTTGCACCGGTGGTTGGGTGGAGTTCCGCTTGTCCGTGTTGCTTAGTGACTTCACGGAGCAGAGAAATCCGCAGAGATGAGCAACTCAGCTCGCAGGTTTGTGGCTTCGAGCCGCCGTTTCAAGCTTTGCTTGCGAGGATACGCTTCAGGCTTGGCTGAGCGCTCCATTTTCAGCAAGTTTCTCCTTTTGGAGAAAATCTCCGCAACCTCGGGTTCCAAGCTCATCCGGGGAATCCAAGTGAATCCCCGGGAAATTTTCTCGAGGAGACCAACCCCGGCTTCTCCCTGGCGGTGCCTTTGGAGGCGCGGGCCCCAGATGCCCGCAGAGCTCTCTCAATCTGAGGTCGGCACTGGTCAGGGCATGTTTTTTTGTGGAGAGTGCTTTGTTTTGGCTGTATGACGGCTTTGAAGAGAAGCCAAAAGGACACCGATCATGTTGGGGTCCCCAGATTTTGACACAACCCTGGGGAGTAAGTTGTAGGGGTGCCCTCCCAAACAAAGGGTCTCCTTTTTTGAATTGACTTGAAAGCTCCCCAAGTTTGCAGTTGTCTCAGAAACACCGCCGTGTGCCTACAGCTCCAACCCGTGTACGGAAGCTCTCGTTGCCAAAGAAGAGGTAACGAAGTGCCGATCTTGGCCCCCAAACGAAGTGAAGAAATTCCTTAAGGAGTTTCGCATCCAAGCAGTGTCTGTCCTGTTGACGTATCAAGCCTTAGCGGGTCGGAGCAGTGGGTGTGCCTAGGAAGCTCCAATGTTATCAGGGCCTGATTCAAAGTTCTGCGAACAAATATCAGCGACATTCCTATGGATTGTGAGATTTGGGACCGGGTCCTTTGGCAGGGTATGATGTGCCATGGACGAGTGGGTTTGTTGTATGCTTGAGGCTTCTCTTTTTGAGGTGTTTTAAAGGGAACACGGGAGGAAGCTAACCGTTTTTGGCTTTTGGGGGTCCCCCTTACTATTTTGAGACACACTCGTATGACTGTTTTGCCCTGAACCAGGCTCTGCTTGATCTGAGTGATTCGAAACTGAGGATTCGCATTTGTGCAGGCGAGTTTTTCATGTAGGATTATCTATAGTGTTGAATAGCGGTCAGCTCAATAGGATTCAGTTTCTGCCAAGGACCCCATGATCGTCTTAAAATAGCGGACCCCCCAAAAATGGTGGGACTCCCTCCTTGGTTTCCCTATAAAAACCAACCAAAAAGGGGTTCCCCCAAACAAAGACACACCCGTGTCGGCCAGTCACCGCGGCCTGCGCAGGTGAGCTTGGCCATCTGCAGCGACCTCGGCGAAAAGGCGGTCGCACCCGGACCGAAGGGATGGTCGCGGATCGGATCGGACCCTTTGGGGTTTTAGGGTTTTAGATAAACACGATTCGATTCCGACGGAATTGCACACCCTGTTCTCAGTGTTGCTGTGCAGGTTTTAGTTTCCCACGCATTTTGGTGGGTGGCAGCTGGCCGTTGGACAAACCACATAGTTTGCGAGGTTGACTTGAAGTCGTAGCATTTCATCAAGGAAAAACACACGGTTTTGGCTAACATATCCAAGTGTTGGGAACAGAGGTGCTGGTTTTGGCTCTCTGGTGTCCGCCCTGAGTTCAGCATCCGAAGTGAATGAGGTCACAACGATCGGATCGCATGTGATTTTTGAAGCGGGGGAGGACTCCTTTTTGGCTTTGCAGACTCGCTCAGTGCAACGAAGTGCGCGGCGCTTTCTTGTTCGGGGGGGGAGGGGTCAGGCCCCAAAAGCAGCGGCAGCTATTGTGTGTCTGTAACCTGCAAGACACTGTCACTCACGTTCGTTTTGTGGCGGAGCTTCACTTGTCACTGGAGAGGAAGGAGTCAGCAACGCAGTTGCGAAGCTGGCCTCGCTTCTTGCGCTGCGGCTGTGGCATGCGGTTGTCTATTTTGGCGGTGAGTTCGGAGTGAGAGAGAAACTGGCTGTCACATATCGGATAAAGGGCATCTCCCGTATTTTGCGGCGGGGTAGGTGGGTCACCCAAAGTACCATGGTGTGTGGGCAGCGGAGTTCTCGAAGCGGTGGCAAAGGGCCACTCCTGTCAGAGTCAACATCGCTGAACGTGGCCTGAAGATTCCTGCCCCCAAATGACCACGGGTAAGTTTTGCCATGGTAGTGGGACATAGCACCTTTTTACTGGTTTGCCCAATGGTCATCCTATGTAAAGGACTTTTCATCAACCCCCATCTACCAATGATTCTTCCCGACGCCAATGCAACCTTCACTGAACTGGGGACAAGGAATCTGGCTGGCTTTCGTTGACTAGATCGCAAGCCTTTCTGCATGGACAGCCCTTAGCCAGGCGTGAAGGAAGTGCCACGACCCCAGAAATTGCTTTCGGAAGTGCACCAAGCCGGAACCGCTCGACGGACTGTGTCACATCAAGAGTTTGCAGATGAAAAGGGTTGGCGCTTTCGGGGGTTTTGGGCTACCTTTCTGAAGGCAAACCCGGAAATTCACAAAGAGATGCCCCGAAAGACGACGATTTTTTTTTGAAATGACTTGCTGGTGCGATAGGTGGAGAATGAGAAATGGAATGAACCAGGGGATTCCCTTAACGGAAACCACCAGTTGGATGGTTTATAGGGTTCATTCTATTGTTTCAGAGGTGGACCACTGTGCCTTCCGGCATCGCGTGTAGGTGGCCCGAATCGGCTGGGGTGACGCCGAAGCCGCACTGGGGTGAACCGTGTGTGGCGGTTCGTGGCCCGTGGAATGCCAAACAAAGCTTACAGCTTAGGGTTTCGCCGATAGCACCGGGTCCCCGAGAATCTGAAAAAATGTATTAGAAACAGCTTGCTGGTTCGATAGGCAGGGAAAGAGAAATGGAATGATCCATATAAGCCATCCAACCTGGAAAGGAATCCCCTCAAGCCAGTGAATCAGCCCAAGACCCAGGCTCGGTCATCCCCCACCGCCGTTTTTGACTTTCAGATAGACTTAACCCTCGGGGTTCTACCCTCTTGGGGGTAAAAAAAAAATAACGACCCCTGGCTCTTTTTTTTGGTCAACCCTGGGGTAGCCAAGTGGGGAGCCCCTGCCCTATCGCAGCGATCGCGAGAAAAAAAGCGAAGCGCCGATCAGAGGCGCCGGGAACCGCCAAGCACATGCCTTCGGGACCTTCGGGGGCCAGTTCCTCGAAGGGATAGATGGTGCCATGGCGTTGGAACGAACCAATGGGTCGGACCCCTTATGGCAGATGTCATGTTTTTTTTTCAAGCAGTTGCCCCAACAAAAAAGGCCAAACATTCAAGCAGTTGCCCCAACACAAAGGCCAAAGACGAAATGCAAGAGGATGCGGCAGAGCTGCGTGCACGCCAAGGAAGATGTCTTTTGAGCGTACTCAGCCCCACTTTTGATTCCCGTGTTGGTGCAGGTTAATTGCCCGTGAGATGCGAAAATCACTTTGACAAAGACCAGAACACACATGCCACCGGCGGGGCATTTGCAGAGGCAAACAAACTGCTCCCAGATGGCTTCATTCGACAACTGCTGTGTGCCTTGGAACCGTTACCCCAAGAGAAAGCCCTTTCAGCCTCGTTGACGTCACAAATGCTCCACGTGTGGGCGGCTCTTTTTTTTTTCCGTCTCCAGAATTCAGAGGTATCAAGACGTATCACACAGCATGGCCTCTCTCAACATGAACGTAGAAAGTCTGTGAAGGGCAAACGCATCTGACCGGACTTGCATGACCTTGCTTTACGCATCATCTGGCTGAAGCAGGGCTGAAGTCAAGGATGTACTGCAACTGCATTTTGCTCTTTTTCTTTCCATGATCCATGGAAGTGGACTGCAAAACGGTTGGACATACCCTTCAACAAGGGATTCCAAGGTTGGACATACCCTTCAACAAGGGATTCCAAGGTTGGACATACCCTTCAACGAGGGATTCCCTGGAAGACACGTTTCCTCCAAAAGGGAGCCCTCTTTCAGGTTTCATGATTGTGTTTGGGAGGGTTGTCAATCCTTCTTTGTTGACTCAACTATTTTGTTGTTTGGCTCTCCACACGCTGCACCATTGGGGAGAACCGCTGCCTGCTCACGGGAAAGTGCGCAGGCGCCGTTCCCTTCAAGCTCGTAGTTTGCCAGGGCGGGGCTTGAACTTCTGAATGCGTTTTTCAAGATTTCACCTTTTCCAAAGTCCCAAAAGAAGCCGGTGGAGAAAAGGGGTGTGGCTCAAAATTAGAGACGTAGGGTTACGCAGGTTTCACTGCTGGTTTCCATGTAGCAAGGTGTCATTTTGGTACAGGTGTTTGAGCCACAGCCAAAGAAGTCCTTTTATATGATACGCCATGATATCCTGTGGCTCCCCAATTTACCGACAACGGCATGTTCGAACCCCTGCCCCCGGCTGTTGGAGCCTTGGGAAAAAGCGACATCGATGCAGCGGGGCGGGTCATCGGCTGAACTGAGCAAGACAGCCGGCGTTTGAAGTTGAGTGATTTGTTGTCCCTGGTTGGTTACTCCCCGGAAAATGGCAACAACCAAACCGTGGCTAGGTCCGTGGCTGTCATTGCCTGAGCCAGCACTTTTGCTTTCTCAACATGCGAGCAACTGAGTCAGTTTGGGAGGACATTGGGGGGGCAGGGGGCCACCCAAATCTCCCCACAAATCGGTTGTTTTGTGCCGGGCAGGCCGACCTGCTCTGGGTAGACTTATGCTTTGTTGATGCCAGTGGGGTTCATTGACCACATGTCCCGATCTCTCACACCCTAGAAATGAGGGCTGTCACGCTTAGGATGACATTGTGGAGCTGCGCTCATTCCCATGACTTTTTTGAGCAACCGCCACGGCCAAACATGGTTGGGTGGGCTTTTTTCCCCAATTTTTCGGATGCCTGGCTTGTTTGTTGTTGGGGCCTTCTCCTTCTTTCCCCCTCCCCCAAGTAAATCGCTGCGTCGAACAGACACTGTGCGCTATCGCAAAGGCAAAAGGATGCCTGGCTTCTGCCTTCTTCCTTCGGCCTTCGGCTCGAGCACGAAGGCTCGTTTTTTCTTCGGGTCATGGCAGTTGCCCAAGGTAACTGGCCATGGTGGGCCGCTGCCAAGAGGAGCTTCGGACCTTCATGCAGTGCCTGATGCTGCCGCCGCCGCCCGGGCCGCTGCTCGGCCGGAATTGTGGGAATTGTGGGGTTTGGGACCAGCGGCCAGTAAATGGGGATGTGTCAATCTAGAAAGAACAAAAAATGGGTGGGTTGTTCGTTTGGCTTCCTTTTGTATAAACCAACCGGCAAGATAGTACAAGCCAACCCCAAGTCTGTACCCGTTCCTTGCGGACCTGAGTTGCGCAAGAGTTCTGCTGAGGTCATCAAAGCCGCAGTCGAAGTCGTACCTTGACTGCAACCACTTGGTGTTGGGCGTTTCCTACAATGAAGGACCGCTCAACATGTGCTTCTGGTTTTGCTTCTGGAGGCACCAAATCAGGGGAATCACACTAGACCTCCACTGGTGTAACTTGCTCAGTGCAGCTGTACGTGCGCAATTGGCGCCCGTTTTCTTTTCTTCTCCGAAGAGCCCTTCGCACTGCTTTCGGGAAGAAAAGGATCAATTTGGGGATTATTTTGGGCAGAGCCTGGGGCTTGGCACATCTTTTTGGGTATGGGTCAAAATTAAACCAGCAGGGGATCGCAGGTTTTGGTCCATGTGTACACTTACCAGGGCAACCCATTTGGGGGTTACCAACTATTTTTGACCACCACAGGCTTTTGGGTCGACCTTTCGACAACCCGCTCGGGGCCAAAGCTTTGGGGTTCCTTGCCTTCAGCTCCTTCAGACCTCGCGGAGCTGAGGTGCAGAAGTCTGCCCCGCGCCCACTTGCGGCCGGGAGCCCCAGGGGGCTGACGGCTGATCGCGGTGGGGGGAGGGGGGAGTTTTTTTGGGGGGGGTCGTGGCGGGGTCGAGGGTGACATGGTCTTATTGTTTTGGGGTAGACGAATTGTGGGGGCGGGGGGGGGGGGTGTTGTTTTTGGGAGTATGCTTTTTATAATTGACTTCAAGGGTCGCAGGAACACGCGCCCCAGTTTGGGTCTCCTTTTTTTTTGTGAGAACCCATTTCAAGCATCTGAACATCACTCTGAAGGTCCGTCTCACGCCATGGAAGCCCTGAGTGATGTAGCAAATCTTCAAACCTTGGAACCTTCAAACCTTGGTATTGAGAGTCAACCTTCAAACCTTGGTATTGAGAGTCAACCCCCTCTTCTCCCAGGTCCCTCATTACTCATACCACAACTTCCCCCCCCCCTCCGCTTGGGGCCCGGGGGACACCCGTGGCAAGGCCCGGTTTCCCGTGTGGGACACCATCTGATCCTCGAAGCCCAAGCCGCGGGTCACGAGTCCGAGCAACCTGACACCAAGAAGCCAACAGCAAAAGCTCGCTCGCTGCGGCGAGTTCCTCACATTTTGGTAAGTATTTGGATAGGTTTCTCAACATTCCTAGCTCGCTGGTTTCCGTGGATTGCGGGAGCTTCTCAACATGAGCCCTCTTTTTTTTGCCGCAGGGAAGCTGAAGTCCGCTTCAAAGCTTCAACTGGCTTGACAAATTTCTGAGGGCCTCCAGCTGTGGGATGAGTCGGGAGTCGGTTGCGTGGCTCCGCCTCCGCTTGGGCGGGTCTTGGAGCGACAGCTCAGCCCAAAGTTTCCACTTGGCGAGGCTGGACCTGCCCTTCGACCAGGCGTTGCAGGAGCTCACGGCACGCTTGGCGATTGAGGCGGGCTCCAGCGTCTTTCTTTTTATTTTTTGTATCTATGTGTTCATCCATTCTATTAGTTTCATGTTTTTAAAGTATGTTTAATTATCTATATATTTAGCTCCTAGCATTTGGAGTTTACGCTTGACTACACGTTTACTAACCTGCAGACGTGACAACCCTGCTCAACAATACAAGGAGGTGCGCACCACACGATTGCCGCCGCCACTATGTGTGACCAGGGACGAAGGGGGGGGGGGCGATACGCAGCAGCCCTCGAAGAATACCCCTGTGTTTCAATGCAGCCATTGCTGGGACCTTTTCGATCCCCTAGAAAAACCGCTCCCAAAGATAGGTGCTTCCTGTTTGGCTTTCCCTTAAACACAGCCCCAAAAGGGCGGGGGGTTCCCCTCACAAAGACACCCATGTGAGTTCCCCAAATGACGTCATGGTGCACGTGAAGGGCTCCGGCCTCTTGTCGCCCTGACCGATGTTCTTGTCCTTGCCAGGTCGACCCGAGCAAACAAACAACAGCATTGCTGACCCAAGCAAAAAAAACAGGGGAATCCACCCCTAGAGCTTTGGCGCTTCGTTTAGCGAAACTGGGAGCCCCTCGTCCCAAGAGCCCAGGGAAAAGTTGCGCCATCGCCATCGATGGCGCCGAAGCCGCCGCCTCCGGCGTCGCCGAGCGGGAGCTTCGGAGGCGCCGGGGGCGTCGTTCTTGGCTGACGCGGGGTTCGGGGGTCGACAAGAAGCAACCTGATCCTTTTGTTTCTTCTTTTTTTCTTCTTTTCTTATATATATATATATATATATTTGTCATTTTTTCCAATCCAAAAAGCCAACTGAGCAGAGTTTTTTTTTTTTCTCCGTGGATGGGGCCAAAGCCCGGTGGGTGAATTCGGGAAATTCGGGGTTCGCGCAGTTTGGGCAAGACCAGGGACGACACCTGCAACGTCCCATGGACCTTATCAGGTATCCCTGAGTTGCTTAGTTGGTGGCTTGGATTGGTTCGCGAGGGTCTCATTTGGGACCATTGGGTGGGCATTTGCTGTTGCAACAAGTCGTTGGCTGCTGCAAGATTCGTTCGCTGAGAGCCGACACATCCGTCCGAGAGCGTTCATCAGTGAGGTTGGTTTTGCCCCTCAGCTCTAAGATGCACGTGCGACATCCCGGGCCCGCATTTGTCCTCTGAAGTGCACATTCTGGAACCAACACTAAGAAAACAGAACAACACACTTGATGAGCTGAATGGTTTCCCATTTACTCTCTGCAACAGCCAGGGCTCAAGCTGTTTGACCGGGATTTCGAGCGAGAAAATCGGTCTCCGAAACTAAGCAGCGCTTTGGTCCGGAGGGACCTAGCCGGTTTGTTCAAGCGAGCGGAGGCTTAGCGAAGGTCACCCGCAAGGTCAGCCTCGCTGAGCCTGGCGGTGAGGTTGGGGGTTCGGTTTTCCCATGCCCCTCCGAACCTTTAACCCTGGCCAGCGGTGCTCAGGCAGCGCTTTGGAGGCCAAGAGGCCGGCTCGATTCGGGTGCTTGGTGCTTTTCTTTTTTTTGCGGAAAAATGGGCTCCGCAAGTGCCCGTGTGTTCGTTTTTGCAGGTGGTTTTGAAAAAGAGGGAAGACCGGGCAGTTTATTGGTGCTTCTCGAGCACACATAAACTGGTGACCCCTTTGATTCTTTTTAAATTGTCCCCTTTTTGTCAGAAGAACAGTCTTCCAAGGGGGCGATGGTCGGAGCGTGAGTTTGTTCAAAGGGAGCCCCCAGGGTGTTGCCATCCGACGGAAATCTCAGAGGCAGCCCCTCGCTTCCAGGTTCTTCATTCCCCCAACCTGGTCAACGGCTTGGCTGCGTTGAAAGCGACGGCCACGTTCATCATCTTGGGTGTCCCCTGGTTGTAAAGCTCGCTTAAAGCTCAACCCATCAGTTTTACTGGGGGTTTCCCCAGTCGCAAGCAGAGTATGCCGCTGAGATGGGAGTGGCCCCATGTTTCCAGGCACAGAGGCCAACAAGTGCATGCAAGCAATCAAGGCGGACCTGCAGGAGAGCCTTGCTATAGCACACCTCGTGCTCGTGGAAGCTCTTGTATTTGGTCCAGTGCAGGCTGGCCTTGTAGGTGGGAACAGGCCCGTGTGACACTCCGGTGTCTCTACATATGGGGGAGCCCCAAATCGGCGGGTTTCCTTGTTTCCGTATTTCCCTTTTAAAATGACCCGCATCCACGCGCACACTCAGAAATTTCACCTGCATGTTTAGAAAAGCCTTTCATTTGAGACCCCCCCACAAATTTGTAGGGGTTGATTCGCCATTCTTTTCAACCATCGTTCTTTTCAAAAACTGGATCCGTTTCCCCTGAATTTTTTGACGGTTTCCTGAAAAGATTCGGATCCCTGGACAGAATGGAATTGGAAGGTGGCAGGTTCCCCGCTACGGGATCCTTTGACCAAACCTCCTGTGAGCGCGCAAAACCCATGGACTTTGGCTCTTCCAGAGGTACCCCTAGAAAATTGCTCCGTTTTTCCCTTCGCTTTCCCCTGTAAGAACCTCCCTCGCGGACAGAAATGGGGGGCGAAGCGGAGAAACCGAGGCGGCCGGGCAGCAGCAGCCAAGCCCGGCCCCGCGGAGGCGGGTGATCGGGTGATCGGTGGATCGGCGTCCAAGCTCGTCCAAATCACCGAATCAGATCCGGGCTGAAGGGGAAAAAACATCGGGCTCCAAATGATTCAGAGGGTTTTTGGTTGTGGCCGGTTCTCGAATGACCCAAGACATGGCAAACATATCAAACATGGAAAGCTCTCTCTCTCTCTCTCTCTCTCTCTCTCTCTCTCTCTCTCTCTCTCTCTCTCTCTCTCTCTCTCTCTCTCTCTCTCTCTCTCTTTTTAAGCAACATGGGGAGCTCTTGATGGGTTCGGATGGCGGACTTTTGGGGCCCAAATGGCGGTGTTCCAGAGAATTTTCATTGCGGGCGACTTGGAGTGACCGACGCAGCTTGACATCACGACTTGATCTTGGAACCTCACTCGGATTTCGCGGGTGGCCCCTGTCACCCGTGAGATTTTTGTTGGCTCAGCTGAAGCCCCCGGCAGCTCAGAGCTCGGCTGAGAGTCCAGGCCCGGTGCAGCTGAAGCGCGCGCGGAGCACCGGCCGCCCCGCGCTCTGGGACTGACGAGCTGCGGGTTGAGAAAAACCAAATGGCCATGGGTCATAACCTATGGCTCCATTTTGGGGTGGATGAACATCAATTTGCCGCCTATTTTGATGTTTACCAGAGGTACAGGGTTTTGACCCACAGCCAAATCAAGTCGTGGGCGCCCTCAAAAGGACATACGAGTTTTCTTGTGTCTCATCAGCCACTCAATTAGCTTCTCAGTTAGTGAAGTAGTCAATTTCGAAATTTCCTCTTGGAGGGACCCCTGTCAGGTGCCGTATTAGTGGAAGGGAGGCTCACAAAAAGAGTTGGACCACGATGACGGCTTGTGACGCGCGAGTCGATCATCTCCGAATTTGCGGCAAGGCGAACTGTGCAGAAATCAGTGCAACTTTTCAGACTGTTTGTTTGTCCCGCTTTTCCAGGAATGGCGCGATGCGGATTTGTGGGCCATAGTCTGTTCTTCGTAAAATTGTCTTTTACACCGCAATTCCTACATTTTGGTGCCCATTTGCTGGAACAGGAAGACGAAGGATGCAGCCCCCACTTGTTTCTGGGAGACTTTGGGACCGTCTCAGAGAGCAAGCACCACTTCCTGGAATCGACTTCCAACAGTCCAGAGTCTTTGGACCTTCTCCAAGGCAAAAACTTTGTTCAACTGCTGCCATCGCAGCAGTTGCCCGCCTCAGTTGCTGGTTGTTGTGGGGAAACAGTTTACATTTTTGCTTCTTGTGGTTTAGTGGTTGATATCCAACCACTGAACTGCTAAGATCTAAATTTTTGCTCCCCTTCCAACGTCAACCAAGTCTCAGTAGGAATTCTGGTGACCCATAGCTTTCGACTTGGGTCTCGAGGCCTGCCGATCTCCAAGCGCGGTGTTCCCGAAGGCGGGGCCCCAGGCCCAGGAAGAATGGGGAGGGGGATGTTGATGTGTGCAACCCGACCACATGTAACTAAGTCCCCCAGCAATTGGTGCCCTTGTACGAACTTTTTTGGTTGGGAGGGTTCCCCTACTACAACAGACTACAGAAAAAAAGAGTTGGTACCCCTTTATTAATTCTAAGCTCTCTACTGAAGGACCTAGTGTAGCTCAAGGTGCGACTCACTCGAGTTTCGCGGTTTGAATCCCCCTCCCCCCCGAGGTCCCGAGGTCTGTGTGTCTTTGTTCAGGCCAATGGCCCCGAAAGGACCAAGTTTTTGGGACAAAGGTAGACGGAAGAGCTGCGGTGGACTTGCCAAGACAAAGCCCTGAATTTAACGTTTGGGTATGGGTCAAAATTGGATTCCATTTTGGGTACATATTTTTGACCCACAGCCATCCATTGTTGAGGTGATCAGATAAGCGAAAAACATGTAGGCCTGGAAACGTGGCATTTGGCGGTCCCGAAGGTCGACCCCGTCCAGATTCGGTCACCTCACGACCCAGCTGCAGCCCTATCCATTTCTTGCAAGGTAGCTTTGGGGCAAAGGAATGCGTTTGAGCTCAACAGCCAATTTGGGACCTTTGGATGTTGCAAAACAAATCGGAAAGGAGTTTTCTGCGCCTTTCCGTTTTTTTTTTTTTAAATTTAGGGTCGCTGTTTTGGAAAGGGCATCCCGGGACATGGGACAAGTCCAAGTTTTGTGGGAAGGCATCCCACGCTTTTCCCTAAGCAACCTGCACAAGGGGCTCGTGTGTACGTAGCTTGAGTCTTGAGCTTTTCACTCGCACTGTAGATGGAGCGTTGGGTATTGGTGAAGACGAAGTGAAGAATTACATGCACATCAATTTCAGGAGTTATGAATATGGCTGCATTTTAATTTGAAAGTACCCCCCCTGAACCGCCCACACCCGGTTTAATCATGCTGGCCGTTTGGTGGTTCAGGACCAAGTGAAGGAACCCTCTAACGTGGCCTATTAGGGGAGAAACATCGGCGCCGTGTTTTTTGAGGGTACCCTTTGCGCCTTTGGTTTTATGGGAAGCCACGAAGGCAATCGCATGCTGTAGTGGTCCACACATACCCAACAAGAGCCCTTTGTTGGTGGATTAAGATGGGCCCACCAAGCAAAACCAGATGGATCTGACAAGACCACCGGTAAAGAGCGATACAGTTGTTGCTAGTTAGGTGGAAGCGTTTGTTATGTTCGAAAAGGCTTTTAATGGCACGATTTGCTTGATCGACATTTTAGATCCAGGTCTGCTTGATCGTCTGGTATAGCGTGCAGCGGCAGCAAGCAATCTGCGAACACCCGACAGCTAGATGATCAACCTTCATGAGGGCCCTGAGATTACTAAGAAAACTCTGTGGAAAAGAAGGCTTTTGCTGAATTCTTTTCTTTTGTACTCGAGTTTAGGTGCACCACCCATTTTGGTCTTTTTTAGAAGGGATTGGGATGTTCACCAGGGGGTACGATTTGGATTTTGAAAAGCCCATGGCCAGATGATCAGCCTTCATGAGGCTTAGGAAGTTCTGAATGACCCTTAGGTCCTCGGTAGCACATGTCTTGGGTCCAATAGTCCACTCGATTCGTGACGCGTTTGGTTTGGTGTTCAGCAGGTCGGCTGCTGAACAACCCCTTCGGCCAGTGGCCACACACGCCCCCGAAGCTGTACGGCACGTCGGGGGCCCGGTTCTTTTCGGGCAACCTGGAGGGGTTGCCTGAGGAGAGGGTGTATGTGATTTCCTTTTTTTTTGGAACCCCATTTGGGTTCAGGTTCTTGGTGGGAAATGAATAGAGAAGCAGGAGCAAATTGGGAGCCCGCTAACTTGAGATAAGCCCGTGTGTCCCTTTTTAGTTCCAGACATGATTCAGCTTTTGCTTGTTTGTTTTGTTTTGTTCGTATTTGTTTTGTTTCATGTAGTTTTGTTGTTTCTTTTATCGGTTCTGTCCATTCTTTTTTCTGGGGTGGGGGGTGGGGGGGCTGCAAAGCGCGCCGTTTGTTGCTCGCGTACCAAGGCCTGGTAAGTCGTCGTCCGATGTCTTTGCGGTAAAAGCATGTTTCTTTTTTTGCACAACAAACATATTTTGCCTTTGGCTACAACAAGACCCCCCCCCCCATATATTGGTCCATTGCACAACCCCCAATATATTGGTCTATAAAAAGACCGATAATTGTTTGGTTTTGCTTTGAACAAGCCAATCATCCACCAACGCGGACGTGGTCTTCATAGGATCATGATGACAAGGGTCCCGCAATGTGATCTCAAGTTGCCAAGCGCATTGCCGCATTTGGTGTTGCAGGCTCTGCGGTTGCTTGTACAGCAGTTGCAGTGTGGCTTCTGGACGGGGATATATTGACTTGTACTTACCGCGAAAAAAAGCTGTCGGCGTCCGTGAGAAGTAGGTTGCCTTTGTTTCCCTTTTGCGTGGACAAGGGGAGAAAGGAACGTGTCGTGGTTCTTGTAGACCGGGGGTCCAGTTTCGGTGCCCCAAAAGAATACGTTTCTCACTTTCGGATCGCTGTTTTCCATATCTCCAACCAGGTGGTCTGAAAGCAGCATCATTTCCTGCAGCTTCGCTCGCCACTTCGGACACCAAACCAAACGCGCAGCATTTCCGGTGGTCTTGAAAGAGCAGCCGCCAAGTGGGAAGTGGCCTCGTTGCTTTCGCCTGCAGGCCGGGGGCCGGTCTCAGCGCCAGTCAGGGGGCCCTAGCTTGGCCTTTTGGCCCTTGGGCTGACTGCAGGGGCCGGTTGGCTGGTTCCATTTGGCTGACATTTCTTGGTAATAGTGCAGTTTTTTTTGCAAACTAAAGGCACGTGCTGCAAATCCTGAATTGAGCATATATTTTTTTTCAAGCCCCCCTAGACAGTTGTTTCCATGTTCTTCCCGTTTCTTCTTATGTTTCCTTTTGACACGGCCCAACGAGGGATGCAAGAGAAAGACACACCCCTTTGATCAATGGTCGATCTTCAGGATCATTTGATGGTGCAGAATTGAGCACACTCGCCAAATGGCCATGGCTCAAAACCAATGGTAGCATTTGGGATAGGTGCACCTTTAAGCTTTATTTTAGTGGGGATTGGGATGTTCACTCGGGGGTAACCGGGATTTTGACCCATGGCCAAATTGCTGTGAGAACAGGCAAGCTACACATCCGGCTCCCACGCCAGGAGAGGTCAGAGTTGATATCGATCACGGCGCATTTGCTGAATGCGGACTTGTTGCTGCTTGCCCGAGAAGCAAACATGCTTGAATTACCGGGGGACAGCGGAGGATATGGGATGACCAACCAATTGAGAAACGGATTCTTGCATATCCTGCTTTGTTCTAGTCTGTGCCGGAATTTGACTTCAGTCGCTTACTGTGTTGCAAATCTTGTGAAACAAAGGACTCTCCTGCAAAGCATTTCTGCAACACACGGGGCCCTTCAACTTGTCAGCGAACAGTGGGGAAGGTAAGCTTTTGAGCCGAATCTCAGCTCTTTTTTTCTTCTTTTTGCCGTGGCTGCATTCTGGTGTGGCTAGCTGACAAGAGTCCTCCAGAAATTGGAGGGGTAAACAGCAGCAGTTTGCGGCAGGCTTCCGGACGCCATGGATTCGCCTCACATGTCTGATCCACAGCCAAAATCCGCGAAGGTTAGGCATAGTCGCAACCTCCCAGCAACTCAATGTAACCCCACGTTCGGGGCCATTTTAAATGGCCCTTAAAAGGGGCATCCAACTAATGGACCCCCGAAGGTCCAAGGGTTCCATGTGACCATGTGTAGGGCAACCATTAAAAGTGGTGCGCCGGTGCGCCCTTTTTTCTAGGGCTACCTTCCAATTCCATTCTTTCCAGGGATCCTTCTTTTCAGGAAACCACCAAAAAACCAGCGAAACAGTTGGTTTTTGAAAAGAACGATGTTTGAAAAGAATGGTTGGAATCAACCCCTGGATTTTTGGGTAGACCATGTTACGAGATTGTGATTGTCAGATCTAGGCCAGCCGCTGCGCGAAGCTTGGAGCGGCTCGGCCTGGCAAGCCTTTTGGAGATCCGGACAGCTCTCGTTTTTTTTTGGGGGGGGACTCGGAGGAAACCCTTTTGCCAGCGGGCGAAGTACTCGCGAGGCATGGCAAGTGAGGCATGGCGCTTGGGCTTGGGCGCGCTTCGCTTCAAGGCCGCAGTTGAAGCGGCGAATGTTTTGTTCTTCGGGGATTTGCGCAAGATTGCTGGTAGCCTACTGTAGCTTTGGGGAGGGAATTCGTGGTTGACAACCGACATTTCAAAACAAAAGCCAACAGCCCAAACGCCCGCAACGAATCCTGTCAGTAAGTGGCATGACACTTTTTGTGGCTTGTTGTTGAGGCCAGGCCACCTGTGACCTTTTTAACACGAGTGATATGAAGCCAAGGTGGTCATTCTTTCAATTGTATGTTTCTCAGGGGCACCCCCTCGCCCAACAGAACAAACTCAGCCACTTGTGGTTTTCCCTTCGGTTTCCAATAGAAAGAACCCCCAAACACGGGTACCCCCGAAGAGGCATTTCTGGATCCTCTGCCTACGAGCTTGGGCGTGAACTCTCCGAGGCTCAGCAGAGGAGGTGCCAGAAGGCTCGCGCCTTCGCTTTCGCGGGGCATGCACCTGTGCATCAAGGCCTTTGTCACCGAATCTTTCTTCAACTGCGAAACTTGCATGTGGCCAAGGGATGTTAGGACTGAATCACTTTTTGCCAACGAAAGCAACCGAGGAAAACAAGGACTTTCTGGCCGCTTGCTTCGATCGCTTGGTCGGTTGGTCGGTTGGTTGAAAGGGAAGCCGATTGGACAAAGGACAGCACACATTTCGTCACCTGAGTCACAATCAAAATCCGGGCTTTTCGAGGGTAGTCAGGGCCAATCCGAGCAGTAAATGGGTGCGGCCGGCCCGCTTTCTAATTCTTTGCATGGTTCTGGGTGGACCATGACTCACCTAATCTTATTTCACCAAGCGGGAAAACACGGATTTCCTGGCAGCTTGTTGCAACATATGCTTGTTTTGGTCGGTGGGTAAACTGCACATTTTTGAGGGTTGCCCTATCTGCTTTTTTTGTGCTGCGGAGGACCCGCTTGACCCTCAACGTGTATAAAAGTCTTGACTATTGTCAGGACACGTTTTTCGTTGGCAAGGCTTATTAGAAAGTCAACACATGTCTCGGCAGGACCAAACGTGAAAGATGTGTAGCCCCCTAGGAACCCCCAGTGAAAGAATAGTTGACCCACTTTGAATGGCGAAACTCTTTAGGTAACAATGGTGGTCATACTGTGGACAAAATCCTGCACCACCTAAGAAACCCTGGAATGTTTCCCATGGTTTCAAAGTGATGCAAATCGGATTTCGTCCATCCACAGTATTAACCTCCTTTGATTTAGCGGCGGGTTTGAACCCCAGCGTGTCTCTCGCCGGAAGCGAGAATGCCGCTAGGTGCCCCAAGCGCAGAGGCAGCGGATGGAACCCCAGGCTGGGCCATGTGCCAAGTTGCTGGCGGAATGGGTAACTAGGTCCTCCAGGATCGTGCCCTTTTACTGTTTCTTTTTTTGAGGAGGGTTCGGGACCCTACTAAAATAGACTACAGAAAAGAGTTGGTACCCTTATTCTGTCCTCTCTACTGGAGGACCTAGGTAAGGAATCAGAATTGTTGAATCTACCGGAAGGGGATTCCCGAATAGAGGAAACCATAGAGCATGGTTTATGGGGGTCCTTCCATTTTTCATTCCTTGCATCTCTCCCACCAGCGACAAATACTCAAGTGGCTGGAAAGCTGCCGGTGGGAACTCTTCGCTTGCAGACTGGGCTCACCCTTGAGCACCTTCCAAGGAAGCCTCCCAAGACACATCCACATGCGTTTTTTTTTCTCCCCCCCGAAGATGGGGGGGGCGTTGGTTTGGCGTTTGAAGGGAAACCGGAAGGAGGGCTCGCCATTTGGGTATGGGTCAAAATTAAGTCACCCGATGACCGCAGGTTTTAGTCTACTTTTCCATTTTGGGTTCCTATGTTTGACCCACAGCCATTTCTGGGGGCGCATCACCCACTGCCTGCCTTTCGAAGCTTTTTGCTCCCGCTCTCCGCCGCTCTCCCGCTCCAGACGTGGACGAGTTGCAGCGCCTGGACTCAAGGCAGTCGAAGCGCTCATCCAGCAGAGGCAGGGGGTCAGGGGTGAACACAGACACACAACCGCAGAGTGGCTCTGAAGAAAGGTGCAGGGGTGCCTTTTTTGGAGGGTGCCCTTCTTCTTTGGTGGGTTGACGGGAAGCCAAAAAAGAGCGCCATCTTCGGGTCCACCTATTATGGTCAGCGGAGGGGTTTGCAGCGCCCTCAGCCCGGGCTTCGACCCCCAATTTTTGGATGGCAGGTAGAGCCAGGGTCATATTTCCAAAACCCCTTTGGTGTTGGGGGTAACTGAACCGCGGGGGTGGCCGCCTTCGTTCTGGTTCTCTGACCCGCCCCTTTTCGGTTGACGCCCGAGCTGTTTCGCCGTGGGAAGCCGTGGGAAGCCGGCCCCAAGATGGTGGCGTTCCAATAGGCACACGCCGCCAAAAAGCGGTACCCCCAAAAGAAAAAGGCCGCAGGATGAGCGTCTGTAGTCCTACTGCCTGGTTTCACAGGCCAGGCCTGGAAGAGCCAAAGTCCATGGGTCCATGGGTTTGGTCAAAGCATCCCGTAGTGGGGAACCCGCGCGATTTCTGGGGCTACCTTCCAATTCCATTCTTTCCAGGGATCCGAATCTTTTCAGGAAGCCATCAAACACACAGGGAACCAGCGATCGGCTTTTCGAAAAGAACGATGGTTGAAAAGAATGGAACAGGAATCAACCCCTAGAGGATCATCCCCACGAAACCCCAGGGCCGCGCCCCGCCCAGCGCCTCCAGCGAGGCAGAAGCAAGCCCCGCAGCGAGTCCCGCGGCTTCTCGGCCGGAAGTGAACGCACAGAGCCGAGGGCTCCGAGAGCGTTGGGTGCGGGGGTGCCGTTGTTGGAGGGTGCCCTGCTTCTTTGGTGGGCTGAAAGGGACACCAACAGGAGCGCCAGGTCTGGGTTGGAACTTCTTGTGACTTGCATTCCCCGGACGAAGTGGGTCTGTTGTTGTTTCGCAAGTCCGAAGAACTTGAGTTGCTTCCCGTGGTTTCGGGCGGAGCAAGTGTCGTAAATGTGTTGTCCAGACTTTGACGGCGTCGCAATCGACTGGCGAGATTCTGCTGTGAGGCTGCAGCAAGCGGATTTTGGACGGCGCAAGCGGCGCGGGGCTCAACTGCTTGAAAGCGATGCCAGGTTCATGCAATGTCAATACACACGAATTCAGGAAACCCTGGAGTGTACTGCTGAGGTAGTACGCCTTATGGACTTTCCAACCAACTGCAATTCCCACGTAACCGCACATGACGGCTGTTCAACCAAATCATCAAAATCAGTTTCAAGAAGTCTCAGAGGAACCCCTCGACAATCCCAGAAGGGGCCCGGAAGCAGGTGAGGTGGGCCTTTGGTGGGCCTTTCCCCCCTCATCAAAGTCCCCCCCCCCCCCCCCGCAATGAGAACCCCCCCCCCCCTTGCGGTGATGCAGAGTACAACCCTTCCAATCGATGCTTTCTCGACAACCCACGAATGATCTGCAATTTCTACTCTTCCAGAAACAGACATAAGGGGTAAAGGACCTGCATCACGGCGAGCTCACTTTGCCTCCAGGCGAGGTCGCCATAAATAGGCAGAATGATGGAACATGATCTGCCCACCACATAATGTTGACCCAGGATTAATAAACCCGTCCCATTATTAGGGGGGTGTTCCCCCCAAAAGTGATGAATCCCCACTAAAAGCGGACACCCCACTATTAATCAAAGCAGGGGTTCTGCTTTGTCCGGGGTAAACATTATGGGGGGTTGGCAAAGTTGGGGGCCGTTTCCCCACTAAAAGTCGGCACCTACCGGCGGAGTCCCGCGAGAAACTGCTCGGAGGCTCGCGCCGTGGGAGCGACTACTCCGACCGCGCTTCGGGTGCGGTACAGCTGCAAAGCCACGGCGGTTCGCCATATGGCCATAAGTCAAAAGCCAAATCGTACCCCCAGCGAACATCCCAATCCAACCACTAAAATAGAGTAAAACGGTTGGGGTGGTAAATTCACCTACCCCAAAATGATACCAGGTTTGACCCACAGCGAATTGGTCAGTTTGGGAGGGACAAGGGGGGGGAACACTCAATTGCCGACATGTCAGGGTAACAGCACATTTGGACTGGGTTCTCACCGGGTGATTCTGAGCCCTGGTCACAAATTGCTGGAAAGCCGGGATCGCTCGTTATTCGCCCTTTCACACGGGTTCAACGCCATGTTATGTTTGACCCAATGTGGCAACTAAGCGCAGGCGTTGATCCATTGCTGGTTTGGGCTTTCCTTGAATTTGGGTGTGCAGGACACTTCCCGGGCGAGATGCCACTTCCCAAGCGATATATTTGACCGTTCCCTTTGGCTTCCCATGGAGCCGTTTTCCTAAAGGGCCGAAATCGACAGTTTCCATTTGGCTATGAGTGTCAATAACAATCCGACAGGAATCCCCAGGTAAAAAAATGTCCACAGGTTCTCGATAAACAAATCATAGCCCCGGGTTTCCGTTGGTGGGTAACGCCTGTTTCGTTCTTCACCGAGTCCAACCTCGGCCGTCGTCCGCGTGCAGGATTCTCCAGAAGAGGCAGTAAGAACAGCTCCCCGGCTGCAAAGGGAGGGACGTGAGTTTCTAGAGGGCAAATGTTAGCACTTGCATGTCAGTGCTTCTTTTTCGATTAAAAAGAGATGGTTCCACCGCGGCATCCCTCAAGGACCTCAACTCTGGGCGACAGGTCTCGCACAAAGTCGGGGTCCCCGTAAAAGTGCTTGGTTTGTGGGGGCTTTCCCTCGCAACACCATCCCAGCAGGCCCAATAGTGCCACAGGATGTACAAGGATGCACACGATTTGGAGGGCGCGTGCCAGGTTGTTTCAGAGTGTCACTTGACTTCTCGGCACGTTGCAGAGGAAGAACCATCGGCACGTTGCAGTTCCTAGCGCTAGTGTACTAGACCTATCTGAAAGGATACCAGCAGTGGAGACCAGTGGTGTGACAGCTGTCCGGGGAGGAAGGCTCATTTGTATTGTCGCCCTACACGACCCTCCGTGAGCATCTTGAAGTTCAAGAGGCTGAGCTGCTTGGAGACAAGGCGCTATGGAACAAAGCGGAGAGGTCCTGGCTTCCAGCATCCAGCCGGTAATGTGCGAGCCTCCGGCGTCGATCGTGACGATTTGCGTATGGAAACTCCAAGAAGCGTGACTGAGATTGAGTATAGCGCCTTCTGTGAGTGCTCTCATTGATAAGCGTGACCGTTCGTGACCAGGATTGGAGATTCTATTCTTGCTGACTTCATGTCATTGGCAAGCGCAGGTCATTGCAAGCGTGACCATTCAGGACAGGAGAAGATGCAAACGAAGGCTGCAGCTCATTGGCAAGGTTGACTCTGGTGACCGTGGCAGATTCCGTGGTTCGGGTTGGCAGGGGCGCCTTTTGCGGCCGCAACCCCCTTTGGAAGTCAGATGGGAAGGAATATGACGAGCTTTGCATCTTCGATTGGAGTTGGTTGAACAGTGCACCCAACGGGGTGTGGCCGTGGCTCATTTGTTTCGGGGTTCCCCCCCAACCCCCGTTTGTAGAAAACAAGACATGCGGTTCATAACTTTGAGCCACACGGAGTCTCTAGTGGTCGCATGATGGTGGGCGGCTTTCTTGAAAGAAACCGACCAACGATAGACCCTCTAAAAGGGGCCCGTCCAGAAGGAGTCTTTTTGTACACGTGATGTGAATTCCATGTTAATCTTCAGGGGTGTAAATGGGCATGTTTACTTCTACAGTTGAAAGCAAATCCCACCTTGAGCACGACCTTTGCCACTGTTCAAACGTCGCACTTTTTCCTGCGCCAAATGTCAATGGCAGTTTTGCACTTGATTTTCCCGAGACTCGTCTCGGCGTTCTCCAAAACGGTTGTTTTCCTTTTGAATCTGCTTCAAGCCACCAAAAAGAAGGGTACTCTCACAAAACGACACACCCACAGCCCCACATCCAGGTTTGCGATAACTTAGAGCCCCCCATTTTTTTAGGGGCCTCCCCGCCTTGCCTTTTTCCAGGATCGAGCCGTACCCGCGGCTTCGGGTTTCCTTGGTTACGCCGGCGAGGTGCCTCAAAGAGGAGCAGCGCCAGCTTCTTCGGTCCGGGGCCCAAGGGCCGCGCCGGTGGTTTGGCTGGTGGGCCCAAGGTTTGGACCGAAGTTTTAGGAATTCGGAAGCCCGGGAGCTGGGCCGGGCCGGTGGTTTTTTCAAAAGGGAAGCCAAAGGGGGCGTCAGGTTTGACAGGTTTGACAGGTCACCTAAATGCCCATCTTTCCATTTGCTACTTGTGATATTTTTAGAGCAGCTGAGGAGCCCTGAGAAAGGAGGTTGTTCCATCAAGGAGTGGAGGTTTCAGAGTTCCATGTTGGTTTGGGCCAGCTCAAGGAGTGGAGGCCCGAGAATCTTGCTCGGAATCTGAGATGTGAAGGGATCTGAACAGACTGTGTGGGTGTGTGTGAAAGTAGGGGAACCCCCCAAATGCTGGCTTTTCCTCTTTCACGGTACTGTGCCTCCTGAGCTTCGCAAAACGCACACCACCCCATGCCTTGCTCGGATGTTGCCGAGGTGAGGATATGCCCGTCACCAAAGGCAGGCTGCGCCGAGAATCGCGAATCCAATTCCAATGTGAGCCACAATCAAAACCCGGGAAGATGAAGGTTAGTAAGGGACAACCCCAACCAAAAATAGCAGCGGATCCGGCTTCCTACTTCTTTACATGGTTCTGGGATTACCATTTTAATACCGGGTTTTGACTATGACTCATGTGACTCATGTGATTTCGGGCGCTCGAGTTTGAAGTTTCTCCCCCCTGCCCCCCTCCTTGGGCACCAGCATTCCGCTCTTCCCCGAGCCCTTTGGCCCAGTTCAGTTCTCTCTCTTGACTGCAAGGCACGGAGGCACATTGACCCATGGCTCTCTATGGTGTTGATCTCCTGGTATGATCGTAGACGCCGGACATGTGTACTCGCTCTGTGTGTGTTGGGCGTGATACTGTGGATGGACAAAACCCAGCACCATTGAAACCATGGGAAACCATTGTTTGTTGGTATTTACAAGAGAATCATCATCCCATGGTTTCTTAGGTGGTGCAGGATTTCGTCCATCCGCAGTAGTTTTATGCAAGGGGCGCTGGGAAAACCCCCTTCGGGGCATTGCCCGCTCGGGTCAGCTCGGAGGTGATGCGTGGCAGGCGGCGCAGGTGCAGGACCGGGAGAGTTCAACGGAGAGAGGTTGCGAGGGCAGCAGGTTAGTTTGCTAAGAAGTTAGATGGGCGAAGGCTGGAGCCGGGCATGCTGCCGACCTTCGAAGCGCGCAAAAAAACACCGCCGCTTCAGCAAGCGACGCGTTTTGGGCTCGTTTTTGTTTGGGGGAACCTTTTGGGGGTGGCTCAAAATTGCACAGGAGGGGCAAACCGCAGGTTTTGGTACCCATGTTTCCACTTACCAGGGCAACCCATGTTGGGTACCGCTTTTTTGAGCCACCGCCAAATAGATGGGTTCCACTGGATTAGGTAGGCTTTATATCCCATTCGCCAGAAAAAAAAGAAAAAAAAGGAACATCTGGTCGCCTGTGGTATGAAATGCTCCTGTTTATCATGGGACGCCGTTCCTGTGGGGCATGATTCTTTTTCCCCGTGCCGGGCTTATATATGTTGATCATGGCTCGCACCGCTTTCTTTGCTTTCACCTGCCTGCAGGAGGTCCCGAACCGCGCCAAGGCGGGGCCGAGTGCCCGAATTGGAGGGTTTCGGGATGGTGGAGGGATTTCTCGGTTGAAGGCGCCATCCGCTTAGGGCTGAAGCCTCAATCAACTTTGAGTCCCAGTGATCCAGTCTTCAGACAAACACACACTTGTTGGTGATAGCACTCACTTGTCCTCTCTTTTTCAGACATGTGCCTGAGTCTCATGTAATCTTGTTACATCATGGGTTTCCGGCATGCCTTGTTTGAATATACAGCTGCACACATGCACGCTCAACACATATTTTGTTTGAAGTCTCACTTTCGAGTAGTTGGGAGCCATGTGGGCCTGCCCGAAAGCAAGCAGTTTCCAAGTTCGCACCCTACCGCACATGGAGCATGGAGCGCTTCGGGGGGATGGTTTTACTTTGCCCAGAAGGAAGACAGGTATCGACACTTCCGGACCTGGGGGGTCCTGGCCGTGAGTTGCGTGCCAAAGAATCCGAATCCCATTTTTGACCTGACTCCCAATCAAAAGCCGCGTAGGTGGGTAGTACGGGACGATCCCAGCCACAAAAGCGTGCGGCCGCCTTTTCAATTTACATGGTTCTGGGCAGTAGTCGTGGATGGGATGAGGAAATGAGTCGTCATACTGATTACACCCAGGCTTAGCCTGGCGGGTACACATCAACTTCAAGCATGGCTCAATTTGATGCCCAAGGCTTCACTTGATGCCCAAGGCTTGTGAATACTCCCGGTCAGCAATGTCCTGGGTTTTTGCCTTCTTATCATTGAATTTGTCGTTGGTGCAATACTGGCTCGCGCACTTCACGGTCAAGAGGCCCGAGACTCGCCGTCGATGGTGTAGGTTCCGAGCTTCTTGCCGTATCCAGCGAGCATGCACAATTGCTGAGCGTGCTCGGCCGTCAGATCAGTCCATTCCACGCGTGAGGTACCTGTGCGTGGTGTCCTGGCCACAGGTTTCTTCCTGGGCGAAGTGCTTTACGTCAACGCCAGCCGCCAGCCATGGCCGAGGGCCGCGCTTATTGCGGCCCTCAGGCAACTGGTGGCTTGAGCCGGAAAATGGCAGCAGCGCTCCGCCCTTGGGCGAAGCTGCACCTCACTTGAACCTCAGCGAAGCAAAGCATCAGGTTTCGGACGCCAAGGTCTTTTTTTGCCAGCTTTCGTGAAAAAATGATCGACCCCCTCGTAGTGAAGGATTCCTTTTTGAGGGGGTCGCCCATTTTGTCACAGGTGGCAAAAAGACCCCCAACTTACTAGGATGATCCATGCCATGCTTTTGCAAGTCGCTGGAACTCCCAGGCTTTCCCCCATGCTTCTTTTGCGACGTGACAGTTCAAGCGATCAGCTAGCTTGCTGGACTGGGTTGGCCAGCTGCCTGCCTTTGACTTAAACTGCAAACAACAGACTGCAGAGGCACTCCTCGGTTTGGATGTGCCTCTAATTGCCGCGAACAGCTGCGACACGCATTAACAAAAATTGGGGGTGAGATAAGCAAGTTATCCTTGGGGCCGTGGCATTGTGGACAGTACTCAAAAGTGAAACAACAGTCAACACAATTCTCCGGGCTCATTTCTTTTGGGGGGGGGGTTACCTGTCTTGTGGATAGTCAGATTCGGGGTCCCGAACAGGGCTGTCCAAAAGCCTCGGTTGAACGTTTTGCGTCACTCACCGGAAGCCGGCGCCACGCGGGTTAAGAGTTTGGCACCGCCACATGAGTCTACTTTGGTGGACATCATTGGGGCGGTGCGGCCGCAATGGTTGTTTTCCTTTTGGTACCCTCCTAAAAGAGGCACATCCATTTAGGGAATATTTTACGTCCAGCAACCCCTCGAAGCAGCGGGGCCACACTGGGACATATGCTTTCCGCCTTATTGTCCCCAACTAGAATGCATGACCCAAACCGGCCGAGAGGTTCCTTTTCCCCTTAGGCCTCAGGGTGTCCTTTAACAGAGACACACCCATGGACCCCAAGCCGCAGAGTTGTTTCTCACGTTTTCACCAGGACTTCGGTGAGCAGTCACTCTCCGAAACGATTGGCCTCCCGCTGGAGGTGGTGAAGCAGGCGGACGGGAAACGCCACACGGGTAGCGTTCGGCTGGGAGTTGGGCGTGGCCCAAAATCAGCCAACGGGTGCTTCGGGAGTTGCCAGGCTCCTTTGCGGGCGTCAACGTGGCTGCATGATGCGGATGGTTTAGTGGGGGTCGGGGGTTGACTGCTGGCGGTTCATTTTAGTTGCTGGCTGTGCGCTCCTTTCTCAGGCGCGGGTGTTCACGGTTTCTGTTTCTCCGCCCCACTGCTCGCATTTTTTTTGCGGGACGCCCTTGGGTTTGAACGAACGCATCAACTAACCAGCCTGACCTTTGGGAGGCCCGGGCTTGGCGCATTTTCGGTTTAGAAAGGGACCACGTCCCCCGAGTTCGACTGGCCAGTCGGCTTCGGCGTGGCCAGGCGGCGGAGTGCTACAAGAACCACGCCAGGGGCCTCAGGGGCGTGGCGGATGGGGGGGGTTGGCAGGGGGGGGCATGTTTTTTGTTTTTGTTTGATTGTGGTTTAGTGGTTGAAATCCAACCACTTGACTGTTTTTTTTGGCTCCCCTTCCAACGTCAACCAAGGGGGGCTCCTCCATTTTTTTGCGCAACCCCAGGCACCGGGACTGCTCACGACGTCCCGTGGACACAACAGAACAAGTCCGGTGTATGTTTCTAGGGTTCACTTGCGTGTGCCCCAACGGCGGTCTTTCCGAGAAGGACACCTGAAAAGGGGATATTTTTTCTGTCTTTTTTCTTCTTTCTTTTTTCTTTTTCAACTCAGAGCCCTTAAACCGCACCCAAAGGGTGCGGTTTTTCTTGGTGGCGAAGACCTGGCCCGAGACCCTCAGAACCCTCCCCGTGGGGTTCGCCTCCAATCGGCCCAAAACAGGGCTCGCCTTGTCTCGTTTTGTTTTGCACAGGCATGGCCACAGACCCGATCCCTTTCCGAGTCTCGGAGCTTCCCATTCGCAGACATTTTTCCAGACTTGGCACAGGCTGGGGAAAGCAACCCCTCGAAGAGTGACAACTCGGGAATTCAGATGCCGCAAGGCTACCAAAGTCGGCTGGTCTTCGTGAGAGATGGCATTCTCAGTTCTCCCATTTTGGCTCAGACATCCCTTTACTTACCCACATGGCCATGAATCCCCGAAAGTGGTTGGTGGACATGAACCCTCATCCAAATGGTCTTCACCCCGGGGTCCCTAGATGAATTTCATGCCCGTAGAAGGGTGTGTCTTGTTTTGAGGGACCTCCTTTTTGGCTAGTTCTAAACGGAAGGCCAAAAAGAAGCCCACCATCTGTTTTGGTCCTTTTTTTGAAGGGACGCCAACAGGCAAAACCGAAGCCATCTTGGAGCCACGTGGGGAGGGGTCCCCCACAAAAACGACGAGCCACCCAAAACGGGATCTCTGGGGAGCCACGTGGCCGCCAGGTGGTGGATCTCGAGCCGCGCGATCGGCCCGACTTGTGGCGAAGCTCGGCGGGCCTCGAGCGCCGCGTTGGGAGGGGGGGACGGGGATGGGGGGGGACGGGGGGAACGGGGGGGACGAAAATGACAACCCGTTCTTTTTTGGGGGAAGACTTGGGGGTTGGGTCAAAAGTCGACCACCAGGGACTTTGTAGGGTAAGACTTTCCAACTGAATCACCAGGATATGGACCGCAGGTTTTAGTCCTTGTTCCCATTTGCCAGGGCAACTCATTGGGTGTGTGGTTGATCAATATTCTGGTTGGGCGTTCTCGCCCAAACGGGGTCCCCCTTTTCGGGCCGGAAGATGCGCTTTCCATTTTTTCAGAGCAAGGAATACAAGCAGATATTGGGGGTTGATCACTATTCCCTGTGGCCCCAAGTTTTGGCCATGCGACACTTTTCCCATGTGTTGAAAGTCGAATCCTTTGTTTTGGTGGTTTCGCGAATGGTCACCCCATGTAAAGGACCTTCTGATCAACCTCTACTACCCAAGGCCACAAAAGGCCAGATTTAATATCTTGGCAACCCCTGGCTCGTACATGTTGTTGTTTGCTGGCATCACAAGAGGGAGGTCAGAAAACCCCAAAACCAGTGACCAACTCTCAAAAAGACGCTGGGGCACTAGAGGCTACAATCACCCACCACTCCATGAGAGTTTATCTTTGTGGATGGTAGGGCTTCCCATTGCCGACAGCCTTGTTCCCGCTTCTGGGGCTCCGTAACCACTCGTGTTGAGTGTTCCTCTGCTCGTAGGCTGCGCGTCAAAACAGGGAGACGCAAAACGAACATGGGTGGTTTTTCTTCTGTCTTCCTTTCAGAGTACCCGGAAAAAAAAAAAAAAAACTACATACATGAGCGTATGCATACATACATAGTAACACCTATATACGTACATAGTATATATATATATATACATGTATGTGCATCTACAGTACGTGTATACCAACCACAGGGAGACCGAGACTTCGATCCCCCCGCCTAATCCTCCGCCCCGAGGATTGAAGCAGTCGGACTTCCAGAAGGCCCTGGCAAGCTGCTCGTGTCTAGCTGGCGACCCACCCTTAGGTCGGGATGGGCATCAAAAACAACTTGTTATTAGGGATGAAAAACACTTATTCGGGACTTGTTTGATAGGCATCAAGCAAAAACAGCTCTTATTAGGGATCAAGAAGAACTTGTTAGGGGATTTTAGGTCAAGGTGTGCATGGAAAGCCAACATGAAGCATTGTCTGGGTCGCCCAGCAATTGGTGCCCTTTTACCATTTCTTTTTTGGGGGAGGGAGGGTTCCCCTACTAAAATAGACTACACAAAAAAGGGTGCCCTTATTCTAACCTCTCTACTGGAGGACCTAGTTGTGAAGGACCGCAAGGCCTACATTGGGTGCCATGGCATGCCCGGGCTCGGATGTTTGTGTCCCTTCGTTTGGGGGCTGAAACATCTGGGTTTTTTGAAGATGAGATTCGGGTCGATGTCCAAAGGATAAGTCTAAGGAACCCGAGAGTTGGCAACACACCGCCACTTCTGCCACACCCCTGGCCAAGCGAAGGCATTTCGCCGACGCCCTGCTCCGAATCCTGTGTGGATTGCTCACTCGTGATGGATGCTGTGGTGTAGGAGAAAACACTTCCCATGTTGCGACCTTATCTCGGCTGATCGAGCGCTCCATTCCTTTCGCGGCCAGGTCTTGTGCGAGCTTTGCTCCGTGAAGGACGTGTCGGAGCTCCCTTCCTCCTTTGTGTCGAAGGCGCCAAAGCTGGCAAAGCCCAAAGAAGAGCGCGCAGGCCACCTGGACACCCTGTGGGTAGGGGAGAATCCTGACCCCGGATTGATGTTGACCCAGGATTAATAAGCCCCTCCCATTATTAGGGGGGTGTTCCCTCCAAAAGTGATGAATCCCCACTAAAAGGGGACACCCCCCCTATTAATCAACCTGAGGTTTATTAATCCGGGGTTAACATTAATAAACCCCGGTTTATTACCATGGGGGTGTCCCTGGTTTTAATTCGTGGGGATTGATAACTTTTGGAGGAGCACCACCATATTAATAAGCAGGGGGTTGATTAATCCGGTGTCAGCATTAGAGTATCCGTAATGTGCTTGTCGTAGCGACAGGGTTTTGAGGTGGCAGGTTTGGTTTCATGCACAGCTATCTAGCCTTTGTAAGACGTTGAGCTGTCCAACACCCTACAACTACCCTGTCTGTGAAAATCACAAGCTGAAGACTGACATGATCTTGAGAAAGCCTCATGTCCACGTCCAAGACTGCGGAATGGGATAGCTCACGGAGCATGACCCGTGTTAAAACCCTCTAGGCCCCGTGCCTAAATTGGGAAGCTGTTCTGAGGTCTGTGTTGGTGTTGCTTTCCAGGTTCCATTGATCGCCATTTGGCTCAAGACACAATTGAGGTTCAAGATCTGATGTGTAGCTGCATTCATACGTGATCGGCATTGAGAGCGGAAAACACTTCGCTTGCGCTGCATTTGTCAGGACCACTGTTGTAACTATCATCCCTTTCCCCTTACAACGTTTACACGGGTTCGGCTATAACGGCATCGTCCGTATACACCTTTCCACGTGGTTGGTATTACAGCTGGAGGGTTCGGTGCATAGCGTCCCACGGGACGTCACCTTGCCGTCTCTTGACAGGTTATCAGCCGTATCTACAAGCTCTACACTGGACAGAGAGACAGCTGGTTTATTGCGGGTACAGGGACAATAAAGGAACGATAACCTACACAGTACAATGGCATCTTCAGCGAGCCCAAGTACTGCAACTTTTGGGAACAGCAGCTCAGAGGGATCCAATGGATTGATGGCTCTTCCTGCGGTGATGGATATGATCGCGGATTCACAGGATGAACCTGGGAGCGGAGGTTCCGCGCTATTCAGCGACATATCCACTCCCACAAGATCATGGAAGCAGATCGATGTTCATCAGGAGTCGAAGAAAAGAGAATCCCCACCGAGAAGATCATCATCTTCGCCTGCGACACCACGGACGTCGCAGAAGGGCGTGAGATCGACATCGAAGGGTGGGAGATCAAAATCACCCATCAGTGCGGAGTTTCGCGCCGCGATCAAGGAAAAGAACAAGATGGAGGTGGAGATCGGGGAATACCAGAAGACGCTTGATGAGATGTCGGCAGCAATGGCTAATCTTCATCAAGAAGACTATGGAAGCACCATCCGGATCCAGGAGCTGGAAAGACGATGCGAGATTGCCAGCAAGCAGTCGGGACATCTAGTGAGTCACCACCAACACCACATGGCTGAGGCATGGCGCAAGTTTGAGGAGGAAGCCCAACAGATGCGCAAGGTGGAAATGAACGCATTTCAGTACGGGGAAAAGAAAGACATGGAGTCGAATATCATAATGCAACAGATGAGACAAGCTGAAGGAACTATCATGGAGCAGAAGCGGGAAATTGCAGTGATGAAATCCTACATGGCAAGCGAGAAGTCGGCCGCGCAGGAGTCAGCTATACGTGCAAATCAAATACACCGAGAAGCTTCACAGCAGATATCAGTTTATCAGCAACAAATCAGAGGCATCGAATCATCTACATCTATCGAGAAGTTCAACGAGGAGGAGATGGTCCAAAGTCTGAAGTCACAGTTGGAACACGCACTTGTCAAGCGCCCCGAGACGTACTCCATGGAGGACTCCAGGGAACAGCTGATGGCGAGACTGAATGACGTTACAGTATTTGCGGAACAAGAATCAAAGAGAGCAGATTGCTTGCTTCGCGAGAAGGAAGAGATCGTCAAACAGTATGAATCCGACGTGTCGATGAAGGACCAGATGATTGCTGTCGAAGGCGGTCATCGTCAAGATGCGATCTTGGAGTTAGCCCAGGTCAAAGAAGCAAAGCAAGAAGAACGGTGCACGATGGATGAGAAGTCGAAGGAGGCTGAGTACTGGAGATTGACAGCTAAGGGAATGTACGATGAGTACCTCGAAGAGATGCATGAGCTTCAGGGACAACTGAAGGAGAGGGAGGCGACGCTCAAGCAAGAAGAGAGTTTTGTTCGTCAACTCGACGCTGACAACGAGGAACTGCGTGCACATAAGAAGCTGGAGACACAGGAAGCCTCCAGCAGCAAAGATGGACATCGTGAACGAGCAGTAGTGAAACGCGCTGAGGGAGGATCCCAAGCTAATTCAAATAGGGTAGACAAGAAGGTGGCTGGGTTAGTCCCGTCATCGTCTTCGAATCTGAACCCTAATTCGTCACTAATGCCAGGTTCGATTCTTTTTCCGTCTTTCGGTGATCCAATGATCGATGTACACCTATCCCAGATGCAAGGGGTTGTTGGGCATGTCCCACAATCCACTACTACGACTGGTGGTGGTGATGGAGGGGGAAACAACGGTACTACGCCCCCATTGGATTACGGTGGATTCTCGCCTAATGGAAATAGGCAGGGAGCAAATCGACGTCAGTTGAGCCTCACAGGTGGCGGAGGAGGACCTCCGGATGACCCACCCGACGATGAAGACGGGGACGACGACGACGAAGAGGACGAAGAAGACGAGGAAGAAGAAGAGGAAGAAGATGACAATCGGACACGGAGGAGACGAAGAAGATCGAGAGATGATCGGGAGATCAAGAACGATAGACCGAGGATCTCGAGGAAAGAGGCTGAGAGGGTATCCATTCCGGCTTGGCCAAAGATCCACCAACTTGATAACTGGAAGATGCAACTGCTGATGAATGTTCTGAGCGCATGTGCAGATCCAGATACCGATACATGGACAAAATGGTTGGAACAGGCTCTTGGGTTGAACCCAGACCTGAATGCGCTTAGCGATTCAGGTGGCGACAGATTTGCTACGATAGATATTAAGATGGCCATGGGCATGCAGAACATGTTGAAACAAGCACCTGACGAAGCCAAGGACGTGTACCTCGACGCAACGCGGCACTCGGAACTACGACATCAACAAGGGGTGATCGTGAAGGGACGAGAGCTGGTGGCATTGGTTATGCAATCATTCAGAACATCCGATAGAACGGATCTTGTCTACCACATCGAGCACCTATTCAACCTTGACTTTCCTGGAGACAAGAACTTGGTTATGTTCAGGAACAAATGGTATGATTTGCTGCTGAAGATGAGGAGCGAGGACAGACCCAGTAAACTGGCTCTCAGAGATATCCTTTACAGGAAGATCAAAGGGAGCAAGAAGATGGAATTCGGCCTCAATGCCTACCATAGACTACCGGACAAGCATCCTCAGAAGACGTATGAATTCTTATTGGCGTTGATCGACCATCAGATCAAGGCGGATCGGGAGGACCTGATGCTTGACATGAAGGAGAGATCGCGGCAAAGATGCGGCTCCAGCCACTGGCAAGCAGGAGAACCAGGGCGGCAAAGGCAGAAAGGGGAAACCCGGAGGACCTGATGCTGCTCCTGTACTCCCAAAAGCCAAGGCAAAGGGCCACGCTGGCAAGAACGGCAAGTCCGACGGTACCAGCGACAGAGGCAAGAGTCCGGGCGGAGGCAAAGATAATCCCTGTTGGTATCACTTCAAATCGGCGAAGGGATGCGTGAAAGGAAATGAGTGCACATTTTCCCACAGCAAGAAGACGGAGCACAAGCTGGAGAACATGCCCAAGGGGAAAGGAAAGGGTAAGTCCAAATCCAGGTCGTCATCACCAAAGAGGGAGGATGGAGCATGCTTCGCGTTTCAGAAGGGGAAGTGCGACAGGGGGAGTGCTTGCAAGTACAAGCATGAGCTCATCAAGAACAATTCAGCTCCGGCAACGTCAAGCGACAAGGCGCAAGCCAAGTCGAAGGCTGCCTCCAAGGCCGCAGCACCAGCTATTGCAAGGAGGGCCATCGCGATGCCTGCGATAGTCCTGAAGCAATCGGCTCCTGCGGGAAAGGTCAGCTTCAAGAAGGACGTTGACCAGGTCGAGCCGGATGAAGCCGAGACTGTCTACCACGAACATGATGATGACGCGATGAGCGAATCGTCGAGATGGTCTGGCGAGTCCGAGATCCCCGAGAAAATGGTATGGTTCAAAGAAGTACTCGACGTCGACGAGAATGGAGAGATCACCTACCTCGAAGACGAGAGAAGGCAATGGGAACGAAAGGGGGAATGGTACGGTTATGAGGACAATGAGAATGAGCCTTATCAATACGTATACGTTGACGAGAAGAAGTTCAAAAGCAGTGATCATCGAGAATTATCAGCCTATCAAGTCCAACGATCATTGATAAGGGCGAAAATACTGAGAGAGGTGGTGGATGATATATACAAAAGGCACTACTTCCCGGTGACCAAGGAGAGCAGCATAATGTTCGAATACGATCAGAGCAAGGACGAAATCAGGGAATCGGCTGTTGACTGGAAGAAGCAGCACGGTTTGCCGAAGAACGTCTTCGCCATGTCAACGTGCATCAGCAAACGGGTGAAATGGTTGATGGACACCGGATGTGGTCATGATCTCATCGGACGAGCCAAGGCGAAGAGCCTGGGCGTCGACATCGTGAAAGATGATGACGAGATCGTATTCCAGACCGCGAATGGTTCCACATCCACGTCCGATGTGGCCAAGATAGTCGTGGAAGAATTGGACGAGACTGTCGAGCCACACGTATTGGATGAGACACCCACGGTATTGTCAGTGGGGAGGAGATGCATGAAAATGGGCTATGCGTTTCACTGGATGCCTGGTAAACTACCTTTCATGGTTACACCAAAGCAGGGATTCGTGCACTTGCAGGTC